TTCAACCCGAAAATCAACTTGGGGATATGTATTTTTCTTTGGCGGAGGCGTTATTTCAGCCGCGTCCAAACGCTTTGAAAGTGTAGCTCAGTCCACTACCGAAGCAGAATTTTATGCCTTGGGTAAAGCAAGCATGGAGGCCTCTTGGTTACGCATGTTGCTAAATCAACTTGGCTACAAAGGAGAAGATGCCAAAAAGATCAAAATTTACGGAGATAATCAAGGGAGCCTAAAGTTAGCTGAAAATCCTGTATTCCACAACCGGACCAAGCACATTGCCACGAAATACTTTTACATTCGTGAACAATTGGAACGAAAAAAGGTTGAATTGGAGTACATTGCCACCAAAGAGATGGCTGCTGATGGATTGACGAAAGGGCTGACCTTTGACAAGCACAGGCAATTCCTGAAAATGCTCAATATGACTACCTATAGTGCGTGACCCGCTTACATTGATCTAATATGCCTATGTATGGGTATCACCTGAAGGGGGATGTTGAAAGTCATGCGATAAATCTGTAATTGTATCACGTGTCTCGCTTAGAATTCCACACTTTCCGTAATTGTGAAGTGTGTAGATAATTGTAAGAACAAGAAAAGGTGCACCAATAGTTGTAGTTATAATACACACAATAAATTATATATATATATTTATATTATAAGGAATCTGATTTCGAGAGCAAGTATCCAAACACAGCTGAATATATAGCTGGTATGCAGTATACTCTTAACTCCACTGTCGCATAAATAACAACAATTAATCACTGAGGACAATAGCTTGATGTTATGTCAATGTCAATGAAGTTAAATGAAAGGTGAGTTTAAGATGATGTAAGGTCTTGAAGTAGAATTGTATTCGAATTGTACTGTTTGCTGTGTATAGAAGATCTTAAACTAAAGAAAGATGATGGAAGAGGAAAAGTCTTCCTTATATACATTGAAAGGTGGTCTGTGCTGTTACCAGACTATACCAAAATATAGAAACTAAATAGTCACCTGATTGGTATCAACTCAGATCAGTCACCCAAGCCCAAGCCTTAGCTGCCCTAGGCTCTAGCCTATGACAGGTACATGTGTATGGGATGGAAGAATTCCGGGAAGCTATGATGATGATGATGATGATGATCTTTATTTTACGTCTAGCGAGCCACACGCTTGAAGCGTGGCCCTTTTAAGTCCCTACTGAGACAAAAGACGCCAGGGTCTAATCCCTGGGCTTCTACATATTTGAAAGAAAAGGAAAAAAACCAATACGAGACTTTATATACATAGAAAGTGCATTTACATAGCTACTTCCCGCAGATGGCTAAGTTCTTATGTGGTTATGTAATGATTGCTCGGCGCCATCCCCTGTGTTGTGCCTAGACCCACATAGCTACAGTGCACAGCTCCAGTTATGATGGTCACGCGACTGCATGCATTTGCTCTGTTTGCTCCTGCTTCGTTGAGTTAGTATAATTAGTAAGCAATAGTCTAGGGACTATAAGTAGAGAGCTTTCCTCCACAGTAGATAGAGCAAGCAATACAGTCTTTCCTCATTCTACAGAGATCATTCTCCACTCCTCTTCTTGACCTGTCCGGCCCAGCAGCACATCTATGATCACTAGCAGCGAGCTCCCACAAATTGTATGTACACCCGAATCATAGACCTATCATAACACCCTGCTTAGGTCAGTCCACATTCCCTGTTGACCTCCACTGCCGAAAAAATAAAATTTGTTGCTCCATTGAGTTACTTGTCTTTCTTCTTTAGCTAGCTCGGTTTAGGCATCCATTGAATCTCCAAGGTGTTTTATGGGCATATCTCTATAAAGAATCGAGTTTCTTGTAGCCATTCCCCGAATTTTCGCCCCCCTTCATTGTCACGGTTTCAGTACAAAATGCTTGGGCAATCTTGTAAGCACAGTATATTAATTATAATTCTCTGGAGAGAGAATTCCTCAATGGAAAGTCTACATATATATACATTCTAAATTACTGACCTTCAAGATGATTCTCCCTGTGACCTGAATAATTGAGACGCTTCTACAACTACCTAGAAGGTTCTCGGTACACCTGTTATCCTCATGAACCTTTGGTGTGTTTCCAGAAGGTTCACTAAGAATATTCGAAGTTCTGTGGCTTCCGAGACCTTCCCCTTGTGCCATAGTGTTGTAAATACCTCGGGTCAGCTCCGATCGAGCCTCATCGGTCTCCCACCATTGCGGCACTCGGACACTCGGCCGCAGTAAGCTAGATGAGATTAGGGCACTGATAGCACAGCTAAGTACCTAATCACTCTGGCAACATCCCTACATCCGAACGTTGCCTGGTGGACCAATGTGTTTAGACTGAGGTGCACATCACTCTGATGGCTACCGAGGGGCAACAGAATATAATGTGACGACGGTGTATAGCTCTGCAATCCCGGGAGTTCCACACTAGCAACCAGTGTCAATAGTATGTTATGACAGGAGATATTGGCAGGGGCTATGGAAGTGGTTACTGAGACAGAAGTAGGAAGCACCTGTGGTGAGTGCATGATCAGGACTGGGGTACTGAATGTATATATAAGGAAGCAATACTTCCGTAGATAGATTGTAAATTAACCATCTCACTACTGTCCATTCCAACGCATCTTCTCACTACAGCCACATCAATTATATCCGCGCATCCATAATCATCTACATCCATTTCAGGTATTCCTCTGTCCCCTCATGACCTCGTTATTATAACACATAGCCTACGCTAGCCAGCGTAGGCTACAGGAGTCTTTCGGCTTAACAGCTGTCACATTTATGTGTGCCAAGAATGAACAGGATCATCTTTGAAAGTAGACCTTGCATAAGACGTGATCTTCTTTTCCCTATGTGGCAGAAGAAAAAATGTAGTGGTGCCTTTCTACGGCCACATTGGCAGTATTTTGGTGCATTTTCGTGGTTGAAGCGCTCGTGGTAGTTGGCAAAATCGCCATGTCCAGATCTAGCTGCTAGGATACGGCCTAGAGTGGCACGCGAGAGGGTGAGTTCTTTAGGCCTAGATGTTGTAATCCTAGTCCGTGCTAACATAACGTAGAGACGTGCATGGTCTAGGTCATGGATTAATATAGTCGCTGTGCCTACACAATTGAGGTAAGCTACGTAGTGGTTGTAGAGATCTGTTGAGGATCAGGATGTTGAGAAGTGATAGCAGTGCACGGACCAGCTTCTCATGTATTTAGACAGGTGGTCAGGCACTGCCCCCAAAAGTATCTAACATAGATCACACACTTTATCCATTATACTTTAGCAAATAATAATCCCCTCTAAAGTCTACAACTCAGTTCTCGAGCATTATATCACAACTGTCTCTAAGTCTATCCCAAGAATATCTCCAGTGCTCATCATTCACAACACTAGAGGGAGCTGATATAATTCCTAGTTTCTCATAGCTTATGTGCTGGGGGAGAAGATTTCTCCATAGTCTTCCAGTGGCTTGCGTTGTGGACTCATTTGCCCAGCGCTTCAGACCAGCATATGAGAAAAATAGGTCATCTGAAGTTGGTAAATGGCAGCTACTTCTTGCGGCTTTATCAGCGGCTTCATTTCCAATTATGGATGTGTGGCTCGGAACCCATTGAACCCGTATTTGGCCCCGTCTAGTGTGGGCAAGCTGAGAGCATTCTTGCCACTTGGGTGTTAAGGTGAGGAACTCATCAAATTGCGCTTGTGAGGTCCCTGAAAAGTGAGACAAGAGTCGAGTGGTAACTTCTAAGTTATCTAGACAAATCCAGAGGTCTGTAGCAAATTTAGCAGTTGGGAGTGCTAGTGCAGATTTTGCCCCTTCTAGGGCGCCTTTCACTTCCGCATCAAAAACTTCGACGCTCTTTCCAAGAGCGATACTCCTATGTAGAGCTTGTATACCACCTTGGCAGCCGATAAATCCAGCGCCTCCAAGGCCATTCAGTTGCTTCGAGCCGTCTGAGTAGATAATTATGTCTCCAAAGGGGATAGTATGGAGGAAATCAAGGAAGACTTGTCTGTTTTCATCTGCAGAGCCACTGTTCGGTCCAGCCACCCGGGAGTGTGCGGCTTCTCGGCACTCACGTGGATTCCAGGGAGGCATGGCAATTGAATTGATTTGCTCTGATTTTGGAAGAGAAAGTACACGCCGAGCAAAACGAGGGGTAGGACACTGTAAACTGAGAACTCTGTTAGCTCGGCGTAAGAGCGGATGACGAGGATCTAGACGGCGTAGTCGGACTGTAGCTGTAAGCACACGGCCATCGAGAGCTATTTCCGGTTGGTTTAACCCTGATTCACGGTGTAGGATCGCTGTTGGTGTGGTGCAATACACTTCCGCGTTGCACGGGCGGAAGTGAGTACGACCTTTGAAAGCTGCTGTAGTAGAGAGTCTACACGGTTTGATATGCATGGTGCGGGAAGCTATGGCTCTTTATAACTACAATGCCTGTTCCAGATACCCTTGCCCTTTACACGTGATCTGATAATACTCCCGTATAGTGAGAAGATTTACAAACTAGATTGAGCCTTCAAGACAAGGATGGGCCCTATAGCCCTAAACAGCCCAGCCAGAACCCAGCCGGGCCTAGCCCGTAACATTACACGACAATAAATAATATAAATAAAAAATTCAAGCCTTATATCCCTACGCCATTCACCCATGAACCTACGCCAACTCAGAAGCTCAGCTTCAAAGGCAGCCATTTAGACTTTATAAATTTTTCTTATAATCCTCGCCGATAACTAAGAAAAGGGAACTTGGTCAAGTTATCCAACAACAAAAAGTCTCTACAATAACCTAAACCTTCACATTTATACCCTCTTCACGACTATCTTTGTTGGACATTATATTGCCACGGAGGAAATTAAAAGAAAGAGTAGAAGATTCATCCGTGATAATAGACCGAAGCAGGATAGAAAGAAATCCAAGTGGAGCTTGGTAATGGTATGAGAGAACTATCACACGGATCGCTCTTGAACTCAAGTCTATGGAAAGTATACACTAGTAGGGCATATTTCTTATAGAGGGAATGGTGACCATAGAGCACTAGTGGTGTGGATGGAATATATACTGGAACGACCACAGTCCATAAACTGGGAAAGTTTATGTGAGAGCTGACATAGACCAACACTACTACGCCAAATCCTGAAAGAGCTTTAGGAGTTTACGATGAGACATTGAAAGGTCTTTTTGTAATTAATTTAGAAACATGACTGCGGTAGACAAATATTACATATCAGAACAATGTGCACTGGCGCCATGAGATGTGATTAACCCATATCATCACTCGTTGGCATGAATAGTAATTGGCCAATGTATACCGTCAGGCATACATTGGCTTTAGCCTACATAGACAAATTGGTTGCTGTCTGATTATAGTTCTGTATTATATCACGTGACTTATTTTCGTAACATTTCCTTATATAGAATAGCGCTGGGAATAAGAAATTGGCTCCTCAATGTAATTATTAGTTGCTACTTAGGAGGGAGGGAGTTAGATAGGAAGTAATTGATACCAATATTGTTACAACAAGCTTGTCACAAAACCCGTCCACTTGAGGTATTCCAACAGTCGCCTTCCATTGGTGTCGGTGTAATCTCCCAGTAAACTCTACATATCTGGGATAGCCAAGTTGAATTGCATCCGAGTCGAAGTCGAAAGCAATCTCAAGCATATCTCCATTTGACGACTTCTCGACAATGCCTCTTATCACCCTGATCTGAGTCCTCAACCTCTCTCTAACCACGCATCATCTCGCCTCGCCGACCAATAAAGAAGTTACTCCAAGTGCATACAGGAGCTAGCCCCATTAACTTCCAGCCATCTCTCACTGTATATTTACGACGCTGTTTATACTCAAAAGGAGGAAATCAAGTCGAAAAATACAAAGCCTGGGTCTTGGCTTATGGGGGACTGTTGCTCTGATGGGACAAACAACTTGAGGAAGAACAGGCCACTGAGATGTTGAGCAAGAGGGGGAGCAGGTCTCTGAAGATCATGCTGGGACTGACATTTTCGAGAGATTTTCAACTTTAGAACGTTTGTGGGCGCCAAGAACTATATTTCGGCTTATTTGCCTAGAGGCCTTCAATTGTCGATGAGTCAGCGGCACTCCCCAGCGCCCTGGACGGCACAAAAGAAGTTAGGCTAAACTACCATACAGCAATCACGCTCTATCCAGACTTTTCTAATATTTAAGCACAACCCTCGGCAAGGAGACTAGAAAGGCAGAGGGTGAATTTCCGGATGTGCACACAAGTCTTTAGCGTCCAGCTGGCCGGCCTCTTCGAACGCTTCAGAAGGGCCACTTTGTCTTCGGATTTAGTCCTAATATCGGTATTAGAAAAACCCTGCACCCAGTGGTTTTTGCAGTTTTTCCCGGCTGCCATACATCCGCAAATGGCCATCGTTTCGTTGGTTGGAGAGGGGAGATAATGAAGGACAAAGTACTCCTCTGAGTGACTGTGTCGGAATGTTAGTTTTATAGTTTTATTTATTGGCCTAGGTTAGGCGTTTGCTTCTGTGATGATTCCCGCTTAGTTTTAGTTTTATGATTAGTCAGCACATCCCTGGACAAGTAGTTTCTAAAACTAGATGGAGAGAGTGATATCCAACCATTGTTAGAATTTAGAATAATCGGGGCTATGAAGTAGGCCACTTTGTTGATACACAGGTGACTACAAATCCTGTACTTAGGTTCACTTCAATAGTTACTTGAATCAATACGCTCTACAACCCCAATGATTTAGGGCTCGTTATTTCCTTAACAAACTCCCTTTTTCTTTACACTAGGAAAACTTTGGGGCGTAACATTGTTAGCCTTTAATAGATATTATTTAGGAAATAATGAGCCCTCGATCATTGGGGTTGTAGAGTGTATTGATTCAAGTAACTATTGAAGTGAACCTAAGTACAGAATTTATAGTCACGTGTGTATCAACAACGTGGCCTACTTCATAGCCCCAATTATTATAACTTCTACCAGGGCTAATTAATTTCATGTGTTTACCGAAAGTGTCCAGAATAATTAGAGTAAGATTTAATTCAATGTAAATTTTTTTTCAAAGCTTAGGAGGTAGATCCCGAAAAACAATTGGAAGATTCTGAATTTAAAGTGAAAGTGTAAATTAAAGTCTGGTTTTCTACATCCACTTACTCTGCGGCTATCTATCTAATTCATCTGCTGTTATGACATGCAAATTATAGAAGGTAAAACTGAATGTTTAAACAGTATTAAAGCTAAATTACAGAGCTATATCTATAAAGTAAATATATTCGGAGTGCAATATTGGGCTAGAGGTAAAGAAAAAGTCATTGGTGATTATGAGATGCCAAACCATGGTACCCAAATCCAACTCCATAACCGTATACTACATGCTTGCCACATAATATATTAGAATATATAAGGTCATTTAAACTATACTAAGGCGAGAGATAGCAGCAAGCATATATTCTGGCAACCTGTCTCAGGCGCCGGATGGTTTTTACATTACAGTACGTACTTGTTATAACGATATTCGCTCTGTAAATTTCGACGCTAAGATTGTCGGGGAACTAGGAGATCTACGAGCCGCTATCATTAGAGTGCAGCTGACACTATCAACACAATCTAACGATGAAAGGTGCCATGGTTCATCTCTCGGTGGTGTTCTCCGGTATAGGTAGAGTAGCCTGTGCACCTTCTCCACTTGGGAAGGAGACACTTCAGACTGCATTTCGTGCCAAGGAAAGATAATGGATGATGAAGGCATGTCTTGATAACTCAGGGTTTTTGAGACGTTTCCCTGGGTGGGTATTCATAGATGAGGGTTAACTTAGGGTGATGAAAAATCCGCGATAAATTCGCAATGGTACTTGCAAATGAAATCTGAGGCATGAGTGCTCTTCCTTTACATTGAGTCATCTATTATGTACTTTTCTTTGATAGTGTGTCATAGCTAGATGGCTTCAAACGAACTCAAAATTTGATACAAAAATTAAAGCGGCAGATCTTAGGGGTTTGTTGCTTGAAAGCCTTTTCCCTAAATAATAAGGATATTTGTCTTCATGGACCTTTAGATAGAAACTGAATTTAACTGTAAAGAAGAAGTTAATTGTTCAGAAAACCAATTTTTGTTTACGGCTGATGTCCGGAAAAGACCTACATATTCTAATATAGTCAGTGGACTATTCTCGACACCTGTGGTGTCCCCAACAAATCTTCAGCTCTCACTGAAGAGTCAGCAGAGCCGGGATTGAGTGATAAAGTCCTCACTTCGATGAGGATTCCCAATCGCTTGCGCGATCTGTATCGTCTTCATCTCTCAACAAATCCCCTATCACCATTATCATGGAGGATAGGCCACCCTATGAGTTTCTGGAGCGTACCCAGCACCCGATACGGCGATGGTGGATTGGATCAAGTCGGCCTCGACTGTTACAAAGATGATAGTTATAGATGAATATTGGCTCATCGTGTGGTCCCGGCCTCCAGGCCTCTTTTGTCTATATTGTATTCAGCTATCTAGCTTTGATAATCTGGTTGTTAGGTGTCACAGATCAACTATAGAAAGCAAGGAGCATTTGTATGGATGATGGTATTTTATAATTCAACTATGAAGACCTAAGTTCTACATACTAATCCAGGCTTATACACAGATTTAATACATTCTAAGTTCTTCCCTCCATGGTCAGCTCATTTCTAGATGATTCCAGTTGCTACTCTAAGGGTATCATTTCTAGCAGCTTCTCCAAGGTTCAGTATCAGTCTTACTCACATGGAGACTTTTCTAGTCCCTTCTTAGGAGATTCTAGTATCTTTTACGTGGCTTTTGCGCCTGCCCGTTCTCCGGTGGCTGTACACCAGTACTTGCCAGTATTGGCTACAGGAAATACCGGCTTTGTAGCCGTTACATTAGGCCTCGCCTGGCTGGGGCTGCAGGTATTTTGAGACCTTTTCCGGCGCCCGCAGTTTCCATAGCTACCTTTTTTTTTGGGTAGACGGTTTCGTGGAAAAGGTGGCTGAATTCCACGGGTAAACACTGAACTGAATGACTATTCATCACGTATAATATATCAATGACCTTACAAGGAACACAAGAGGATAGGAGCACTTTACAAGGTGTGACCTGGGCCAGAGAGGAGCTCAAAGTGCTAGATAGTCTAAAATTCAAATTGTATAATAAACACACCTCCCTCTTTCTCTACTTCCCCTGTCTCCAAACAATTCAACCGAGCCAGCACAATAGTTGTCATGTAGCACGATTATCCTTTCCTCCTTTGTCAATGATAGCGACTATTTTTTGCATCAGATTTTAATTGCGTATGTATCTATCTAGCTTTGACACAATATCAAAGAAAAGTACATAATAGATGACTCAATGTAAAGGAAGAGCACTCATGCCTCAGATTTCATTTGCAAGTACCATTGCGAATTTATCGCGGATTTTTCATCACCCTAAGTTAACCCTCATCTATGAATACCCACCCAGGGAAACGTCTCAAAAACCCTGAGTTATCAAGACATGCCTTCATCATCCATTATCTTTCCTTGGCACGAAATGCAGTCTGAAGTGTCTCCTTCCCAAGTGGAGAAGGTGCACAGGCTACTCTACCTATACCGGAGAACACCACCGAGAGATGAACCATGGCACCTTTCATCGTTAGATTGTGTTGATAGTGTCAGCAGCAATCTTGCAATCGAAGTCTTGGCTCGAATAAAGCTCAATTCGTAAAACTCCTTGCCAAAATTCAGAATTTCACGCCCTTCGAGTTTATATCCTTCCTTTGTATCATCTTATGAACTTAGCATAATTTCTCTCAGGTCTATCCCAAAGAACTATATCCCAGATTTGTGCGACACGGTTTGCTTCCCCCGTTGAATGTAAATATCGGCGAGGGCGTGTATTTGGTGACCAGCTGAGGTCAGAGAAAGTCAACGAGAGGTGTGATCATTGTAATGAGGATGTAATTGGTCATACTTGTAGATTTGATGAAGCTTAGGGATGGGTTGATCCCGCTGTGATTGAAAATCTGATATGGTGGAGTGGTTTGAATCATTGCCTCGTAGGCCGACTTCTTTGGTATCACGAAATGTGACTGAACTTGGCTCTGGGAGAATATTTCACCCCCAGGTTCGTAGAGGGCACCACGAACAGCTGTTCATTCTTGCCCTCCTGAGATCCGCCACGCTGACGTGTCCGGGCTTAGTTCTGAAAACGCGTCTCATTGTCTCCGCTTCGTGACTATCCGCTTGTTTCATTTTCTCCTCTTACGGTAAATCTAAGTATCCAAGTGTTGGAAATATCGCGCAATGAAATGGGCGCAATATTCGTGGAACAGAAGAAGTTGACTAAAAGAGTGTCAGGTTCCAATTACAGCTAAAAGTGTGGGAATTGTGTGCTACAGGTACAAGTGTAATCGACATAGAGCCTGACTACAGAATAAACGATTGTGGCGCCATCTAGGCATAGAAAAACCCAATAACCTCCTTGTGCCTACGCCATATGGCCGCTCATGTATTCATTAGGTATTCTGAAACGCTACCCTATTACTCACTCTGACCTCTTAAAACACACACAAGATCGTATGGGGAACCTAGTCGAAATGGAGGGCCCGTACGTCCACAGCACTTTGTATCTCCATTTCCAACACCAAGCAGTCTTTAAAACTCCTCGAAATCAATGTCCGGATCCAATCTATTATTTAGTCGAAGGACAGCCGCCCGTCTTAATGTCATTGGTGATTTCGCAGTTCTCGTTGGCAGGGGTAACTTATGCGGTCGCCCCGGCCCTCTTCTTCGTCCATCTGACTTTTCCTTCCTTTTTGTATCTGCTCTATATTTATTGTCCTTGTGAGTTTATGAATTAATTAAGACATGTAGTGATTTTTTCTTCGTAACAGTGGTGAAGCCGTCACAAGTCGTGGCACTGATAGATAGACATTTGATTTGACTTGAATTCTATTCATTTCAGGCTTGCGCCCTACGCACTTGGGTCTAGATACGGGTAGATGGTTCATGTTACCAGAGTATATTTAAATTTAATTGGAAAGGTGAAAATTTTTAAGTGTAATTTCTGCCATTCAAAGAAGCAGACAGGGTATTTAATAATTCGTTGCACAAAATTTAGGAACCCAGAACTAGCATTTGCTGATATCTAATCATGTATATTACCAATGATCCTAAGGACTTAAAGAAGGGAAGCCTTACTAAAATATTTTAAAACTTCGAAGTGTATATCAGTATACAAAGGACATATACCAGGCACATAAACAATGGCCACTAGAGAGGAGTAGGTGTACCAGAGTAGAAATTATAGGGAGAGGGTTTTTGGGATGTTGAAAATTATTTGTCTCTGAATTATAACTGGTTTTTGCTGTCTTTGTAAGGTCAAATCGTCAAGGATAAATGGGTAAATAGCTGATTACAATGTGAATTAAAAAAATGTTACCCATGCAGACTCACTACTACCTGTGTGGATGGTTTTACTTGCCTGAGAAATTTAAGAAATAGAGATATTAAGAAAATGACTCAGTGTGTCCGAACGAAAGCGCCCCGTCCCATTCTTTGCTGCACCTAAATACAATAATGAAAACTTATACCCCTTGGAGACCTATGCCCCACCTAATAGATAGATAGATTTTTATTCGCGATGGGCACTGGCCTAGCACTCAGAGTATGACACGGGGAGAGTTAATCCCTCTATGAGGACTTTATATTATGATGACTCAGTTTAATGATTGGATTCGTGGCAGTGGCTTACTGCGTTGCTGCTACCACTGGTGTTGGTTCCATTATTTTTAGATAAGTACCCGCCATTAGTTCGTACCTACTTATTTCCACGGTTATTTTACAGAACTTATAAATATTGCACACTGATTTCTGCCACGACTTGAGTGGCTTTCCACAGTTACAACATGATACCATGTTCTGAAGGCAGTCCCTTGGCTAATGCTAGCCGGCACACTCTCAGCATTTTGTATGCCTGTTGCACGAGGCTTGGATACAGCCCCATTGACTAAACTTGAAGCAATACTTGATTTTGGCCCTCAAAGACTGAATTACTGCCTTAAGGAGCGTGTCTTTCAGGTCGTGCCTTTTTGAACTACCTCTCTTGCTAATTTCTTCGAAAGAACAGGGTTTACGACTGACTCTATCTTCTTCCCTCTTTTTTGAGGCCAAAGTGTACTATTTCTGTCACGTAGCCAGCAGATGAGGTTGATCTTGAGCTCGGGAATCCTGAATTTTGTTGCATCTATTATTTCATTGATGATTCGTTCATTATTGGCGTTTCTTCTTTCGTTCGTTTTTACTCTGAGTGGGATGCTATGATCTTGGATATGATAATCCTGCATCAAAATTTCGAGTGTTTCGGACTGAGTCTTGATCAGCTCTCGTTGCGTTGTGCAGTTGATTGCACAAAAACCCCCGTATAACTACTGAGCATCTAGCGCACCACATCGTCACCCTTAACATGTTCTGTTGCAAATTTTGGCAGATTTTTTAGCTTTATAATTTCAGCCCTCGTAACTCTTATTCTTGGCCTGTGGGTGCACGACCAATGCACATGAAGGCTTTCCGTAGAAGCTAGGTGCCACTGATTTTTGAGCTGGGATTCGTGAAGAGCTATGTTAACCCTTCTTGCCTGTATCTTCCAAATATTTTAGACTCTACGCCGTTGGTGTTACTCCACTAGGGATTACTTGACACGTTGGCCGGTGCCGCTCGATTACCTTGATTGAAATACTTACTTCAGCCCCAAACATTGTGTAGGTCAAGGAGTTCTGCTCAAACAACTTATGCTTCATTATTCCAGTGCCTCCTCTAAAAAATTTATCGCGTCCTTGGGATTTATGAGTCTCCTATCTGCATTATCTTGGTTTGCAGACTTAGTTCGTTGGAACGAATCAATGGCATTTTCAGACCTTCACCTTCACTAACAGCTATACTTTCCTACAGAGAGCGAAAACTGGGGAATCAGCTTTAAGGCTCCTGTGGGATTAAATATGATTACAATTAATTGTGAATATGTTTGTGAAAGGCTGTGCCGCTTTTGCAGAAGGCTGATCTTTTGAAATTTGCGTGCATCGTTGGTTTATCCTGTTGGCTTTTACCGTATTCAATGTACCTAGGCGTGAAGCAAAAGACGCTATGTGGGACCCGGTTAAGGCGGGATCAGGCGACAAGGCTAGTAACGACAGAACACACTTCAGGATTATTAGGAGCAGAACGAGAAAGCAAGAGTTTAATACACATGGTCAATTTTTATTTCACAAAGTTAGTATATGTGATATGAGCAAAATTACATTCACCGATTTATGCTCAGCTAACCCAAAACAGCTAGTTTGAAAAACAGATAAGCTAACTCTAGCAACATTAAGTAACAACATCAACCCTGGCAACCGCATCCCGCGTCGACCCCACACCCTGACATCAGAGCTCATTGATAAAACGTGATTACTGAAGAGGAATGCTAGTGTCATAGTTTTATCTTTCGAATAGTTTAATGTGATGGGTGTAATCCGAAAAAAGACCGCGACCCGAGGTGCTGAAGGGGGAGTGAAATACGTCTGCGACGTGTGTTCTGCAGATATCACTTCAACAGTAAGCATGGTCGTGTTAAAAACCTCGTGATTCCATCTAATAGGCCGAAATAGGTTAGGATTCGATGTGCCGATTCTCACTGTCATGATTATGATCTCTGTGTACTCTGCTTCTCCAATGGTGAAACCTCCCATAATCATAACCCTGGAACGCATCCATATCGTGTAATTGAGCAAAATTCTGTTCCAATATATGACAAGAATTGGGGTGCGGATGAAGAGTTGTTACTCCTTGAAGGAGCTGAAATTTATGGTTTTGGATCGTGGGCAGATATTGCTGATCATATTGGAGGATATAGAAATAAAGACGAAGTCAGAGCGCATTACCAAAAAATTTATCTGGACAGTCCCAATTTTCCGTTACCATTGCGAGCCAGCCCACAAGATACGCAACTTTTAGATGAGATCTCGAGGGAGGAGTTCCAAGCTAGAAAAAAAAGAAGGATAGAGGATCGAAAAGAAGCCGCCAGGACAGCAATTCCTGCAGTTCCAAAAAAGAAACCGACCGCCAGCGTACCGGCTTGCCACGAAGTTCAAGGTTATATGCCCGGGCGACTGGAGTTTGAAACTGAGTATTATAATGAGGCCGAAGAAGCGGTTCAGTTAATGCAATTTGATCCTGGTGATGGGGTTAATCCCCGAACTGGAGAACTCGAACCTGAAATGGAGCTAAAAATGACGGTCATGGACATATATAATGCGCGCCTTACTCAAAGGGCTGAGAGAAAGAAAATAATATTTGAGCACAACCTCCTTGATTACAAAAAAAATTCTGCCCTAGACAAGAAACGTACTAAGGAAGAACGCGAAATACTAAATAAGGCCAAACCGTTTGCACGTATGATGAATCGTGATGATTTTCAAGAATTCTGTAATGGTCTTGTTGAAGAACATCATCTGCGACATGCTATAGCCCAACTTTTTGAATGGCGTAACATGAAGATAGATGACCTTCGCGCTGGAGAAAAATATGAGCAAGAAAAAGTACAACGTGCGCAAAAGACAATAATGTCAGGCACCCTCGACCGTGAACGGTTCGCCAGCTCGCAGCGTGGCAAGCCTGCTCCAATAATTGAGATATCCCCATCAGTGGCAGCATTTACTACACCTGATATTACTATGCTTCACAACCCGGCACCTCCAATAGAAAATAAAAATCTTACCAGTGGTCTTGTAAATGAATTAACTATGCCAGTGAAGCCAAAATATCATGTCTTACCACTCCAAACAATAACCCCTATGTCTATGGACCGAAAAAACCTTCCTGATTCTCATCTACTTCTTCCCGAAGAGGTAGAGCTCTGCGAAAAAACCAGAATTCACCCTAAGCCTTACCTTGCTATAAAAGAGGCCATTCTACGGGAATCAATTCGGGCGAATGGAGCTCTGAAAAAACGACAAGTCAGAGAGCTAGCAAAAGTAGAGTCCCAAAAGGGAGCGCGGATATTTGACTTTTTCGTCGCTCACGGCTGGCTTGGCAAGGCCTGAGTTTAAACACAGCCTAATTATAAAATCTCGACATTGATGGTGGTTGATAAACATTAGAGCTAATTATTTGTTACGCACAAAGGCAAACAAGTAAGAATAATGAACAATAGATTATTAATAACCTGGCTCTGGCTATAAAAACTACGATTCTTATAGTGAGCTTTATCAAAGGATGACTGGCCAAAATTTAAATGGTCAGAGCTTTAATCATAGAATCAGAACCTCAATTAACTATGATAACTCTTAAACAAGAATCATAATGGACCTGTAGGCAGAAGAACAGTCACTGAGATGAGCTCTGAATGATTGGTTCGAAATTCAGGAAGAGAAATCAGATAATCTTACATTCTTGATTCTGAAATTTATCCTCGCATATTATCATGATACAAATTTTAGCTTAGGCTTTGTAGCTCGACGTAATTTAGGACCCTAACATTGAAGCTACCGGAAGGTGTACGAGAAAAGAGAAATAAACCTCAACCGTAGAGCCTCGTAGTGTCAAAAAATCTATGTCAGTACCCAGAACATCAAGGGCTTGTGTCTAAAATTTGAAGGTCAAGTACCGACAACTGATAGGTCAAATCTTGAGAAGACTTGGAAACTAGCCTTTTCAAATCATTTTGTATGCAGGTGTGTTTTAACACTAGGTATAACATACACAAATAAGGGACTAGAATATAGTTCTTTTCCCGTCACAATCATCTTCTGTATAGAAATGGACACTATGCCGGAAATCTCATTCTACTTTGCAGAATTTCAACGCGTTTTGAATGGTGCTACTGGGCTGATGTAACTAAGCATCTAGAAAAAGCATCGCTTAGAATTTGTTATCTACAAGATCAAAGATAAGTAATATCTGAAAGGGTTAATACATACCGGAACTAGTATGGATATATTCATATATCTTGTCTTTATTAACCTTCATTCCTCAATATCTACTGGAATTTGAATGATATATCCAGAGTCCAAGACTGGGCCATCAGATGGCAAATATGCAAAGATACCCAAGACAATCAGAAGTGTCCATCGAAAATTCATTAGGCTCGCCACAGGTGCATATAACTCGATCAGTGGGAGGATGATAGAGCTTGAAACATAAACTCTGGCCATACGGAGCTACCTAAAAAAAGGAAGGACTCAATGTTTACGGATATCAAATAATCTACTTGTCCTAAAAATAATACTATGTGGATGCGAGAACATAAAACCTTTCGATGAAGGAAGATTCTGTAATCGCGATCAGAACAGGAGAACTGATACAGCAGAAAGAACCCCTCTGTACAGAATAACGAGTCTGAAAGAAGACAGAAAATAGCCAGGAAAAGTCCCGCGTTCTAAGAATGATCATAATCTTGAACAAAAAAAGAAGAGCAGCTCTCCGAGACTCTTGCAAAAGTGAATCCCGATAAATAGAAAGTAGCAAACCCATAAAAAGACAAGAATATAGGTAGACTTGTTTTGAAATATAGAAAAATAACTATCGAAATCCATGTAAACCTCAGTAGGACTTAGATAAATGTTGCTACACCAGAATCGAGCACATCAGGCCCTACGTATACTTATACCCAAGAGACGTCTCAGTGGTAGGGGTCCTTCGCTTCTAATATTATTATCTGTTCCAAAATTTTAAGCAAATTTTGATATCTTGTCAAAAATGGACCAAGGGAAGGGGTGAAATGCTACCAAAATTGATAACACGATCTTCCATATCCATGTCAAATAACGCCAAAGATACGGCAATAATTACTTCTTAGACTTAAAGAGAAGGATGGCTAGAGAAATTAAAGCTGTAATCAGGCAAAGAAATGAAATGAGCAAGAGAGGATAGGAACAGAGTCTATACTGAAAATAACAGTGTAAGCGCATTTCCGAATGTTGAATCTATTATAGCATAGAATTATAACGGAAAGCTGAAGGGGTTTCTAGAACGGTGATTTCCTCCCATGTAATTATTGGAGCTTGTAGGCACCTTATTGGCCCACAGAGCGTGAAATCAGGCTATATGAAATCAATTTTAAAAGTGAACTCTTTGCCATGCGCAAAATAAACTCTCATTAAATTAGGTCATGTAGAGACATGAATCATTCATGAGTTGATATTGTTCAAACGATCATGAATATATCACTACGTCATGTATAGACACGATTCATTGTTTGTACTTGTTATATCAACCATGACTATGTCTCGGTGATATGAGAAACATCATTGACTAGTTACTAGGAGCCCAGTCGAGATCCTAAACACATTATTGAGACTAGGAGAATTTTACTGAGTAAGTAATTATGCTGATGAATCTAGATCTGGAGGAACATAATCTTGTTGCTTGAATCTAGGTATATGAGCCTGAGTATATTATGCACAATAGACTATCTGGAAATCTATCTGAATCACGATTATCTTAATTCATGTCACCATCAATAGCTGCAAAGGACAGTTTAACCATTTCCTTAAAAATTAAGCCTGACTTTTGTATATTAATTCCTAAAGTCCTTCATGGTGTTAGACACTGAAAGGGCAATAATAGTATTCTTTTCTTATCCCTATCAATCTTCTGGTTTTCAGCTATCAAATTATTAGATACCACTTTAATATTTGATGACGAACACCTTTTTAGTTTCTTGCTGATGAACACATATTTTTTCGACTTAGTTAGCAATATCTACCACTGTGATTGAGGACTACTGAATCAATGGTCTCTCAAGAGCTATTGCTCAAACTCATATGAGCCACATCATGCCTGGCAGCCATCACGGCCTGTATAGTTACTTTCTTCACAGAGGTGACAGCAAAAATCACACTTATGAATTGGGTACATTTACTTTTGTTTCTTCCTCAGCTTTCTAGGCTTTCTCATTAACAATATGAAGGCTCAAAAAGAGCTCGCAGGTAATTGTTTTTATTCAAGACCAGCTCTATCATTTTTTGTTTGGCATGGTTCTTATTGTGCTACTTGAGTCTGTGACTATCTGGCATGTTAAGATCCCTTCCAACCCGGGCTATATATTGTAAAATATTTTAAAATTGGGTTCATTATCCTGATTTGGCGCTCTATGGGCCCATGCATATATCTACAATCTGTAATAATAATATTATTATTTTTTGCATCAGATTTTAATTGCGTATGCAGCTATTTAGCTATGATACAATATCAAAGAAAAGTACAGAAAAGATGACTCAATTTACAAGAGGGGCACTCATGCCTCAGATTTCATTCACAAGTACCACTGCGAAGTTATGGTGGCTTTTTCTTCACCCCAAGTCAACCCTCATCCGTGAATACCCACCCAGGGGAACGTCTCAAAAACCCTGAGTTATCCAGACATGCCTCCATCATCTTTCAACTTTTCTCCGCGCGATATGTGGTCTGAGATGTCTCCTTCCCAAGTGGAGTAGGTGCCCAGGCTACTCAAACTATACCAGAAAACATCACCAGGAGGCGTACTACGGCACCTTCCATCGTCTGCTTGTTTTTATAGTGTGAGCTGCACTCTCGCAAGCGAAGTCTTGGCGCGCACAAAGCCCAATTCGTAAAACTCTTGCCAAAATTCAAAATTCCACGCCCGTCGAAAACGTATCCCTCTTCTGCATCATCTTGTGAACTTGTCCTGGTCCCTCTCACGTCCATCCCAAAGAGCTATCTCCCAGATTTGTGCTACACGCTTTGCTTCCTCCGTCGGGTGTAAATATCGGCGTGGGCGTGTATTTGATGACCGGCTGAGGCCAGAGAAAGTCGACGAGAGGTGTTGTTATTGAAACGAGGATGTACTAGGTCGTACTTGTAGACCTGATGAAGCTTAGTCGAGAATCGGACTCTTTGGGAGTGAAAGACTGACATGGTTGAGTAATTTGAATTTTTGCCTCGCGGGCCAACTTCTTTGATATTGCGAAATTTGACTGAACTTGGCTCTGGGAGAATATTTCACTCCCAGGTTCGTGGAGGACACCGCGTACAGGTGTTCAGTCTTGCCCTCCAACTGTTTCTCTGTAATATTTACACGGGAGGAAACCTTTATGGTACAAACCTCTCCCTCCTTTCTGCTTGTTGTCTTTAGTTTTAACATATTTTTTCCAGGAAGCGCAGTTACACTATATTGCCATCCATGTAAACCAAGCAAATCATCTCTAACCGCCCCAAGCATTATTTGACCTGTTCCTTTCCCTCAGCAGCATTTAGACCGCCTTTGTTATCTAGATTTGCTCTATCCAACCATGATTTAGGATCCACTGTGTTATCTTTATAATGTCTCCAGGATTTTTTATCATCGCAATGTAGGACCAATCTTTGGCTTGTCTCCTGATCTCAGCTCTACCAATTGGCCATCTGGGGCAAGACATAATCTTATGCTTGGGGTTCTGTGTTTGGTAGCCACATGGACAGCCTAGAGAGAGTACTCCGAATACCGTTCTTCCCTGTTAATACGGGTTAAGCCCCATATGCTAAATTCGTATTTGCATCGCCAAACTGCTTTGGGCCCTTGTCAGATTACGATGTAGAGAGAATGACGAGTCTTGATAACTCGGTTTTTGCTGTCCATATTCTCTATTTTGGTAAAATCTAGCCGCTTTCCAAGTTTCGAGATATGCAGTTGCTAACTGCCGAAGCTTCCGAGCTCGTTTCTGCTTGGCCCAGGATTTCGCCCACTCTTGGTATGCCGTAACTTTCACTATCTCTGTGCGTGTGTATCTTCTTGGTTTGTTGCTCACCGCACATTCCCGTCCAGTTGGAAAGATATATCCTCCTGTTAACTGTTCAAATATCTTCTCTACCTTTTTTGGGCAGCTTGATTTTGCTACAGGTGTCACGGCATGGCATTCTGTCCCGTCATGATATGTGGTCACGTGGATGGAGGATGTGAGATTGATGGCTAATGCGGGAAGCCCGAATAGGAATAGCCTCGGGGCTTTTTGTAACTAAATAATCTCCTCTTCTGTTTATCTCCAGCTTAGTATCCGCTCCACAGATTGAATTATCGCCTTTTAGTCTGTACATTCACTTATGC